ATGGGACTGACTATATGAGAATGCCTGGCACAGAAAAGGGGCACAGCCAGCAGCTCTCTGCACAGCACTGGCATCAGGTACCCAGGTGCATTTGGTGCTCCCACCTCCAGTGACACTGTACTTATGGAGTGGGGAGAAACTGTGCCCAGGTGACACACAGCCCACAGAGGGGCAGGCACAGGAAGACTTGTCCGTGTGTCCTGAGTGGGACAGTGAGGGGCCCAGGCGGGGTTGGACTGTGTGTGCCACTTTCCTTTTTCTGTTTTCTGCATCTTCATGTTTTTTCCCTCCCTAGTTACCTCCATTTCTTCTTCCTTTTCTCCCCTTCCCTTTGAGTTTCCTCTCTCTGCTCAGTCCTTTCTCTTCCTCTCTTTGCTGGCTGTCCTCATGCTTCCCCTTCCTCTTTTCTTCCTCTCCCTCTCTCTACCCCACCCGCAGGCTGGGTCTTCACTGGGGCTGGTTCCCATGCATGGCACAACAGCAGCCTCCTTCAGGAGTCATCCTGGGCCACCAGGGCCAGGCACAGAAGTCACGGCTCCAGAGCACCACCGAGTCAGGAATCCCGAGCTCTGGTGCCCCGCAGTCAGGGCTCACTGGTCTTGGAGAATGAGAGAACACTGGGATTGTGGCAGATCAGCTTCACAGAGCTGGAAAACGCAGCACTGGGGCAGGCTCTGCTGCGTTTCAATCCCCCGTTCTTGGATAGCCGCCTCCTTCCCTAACACATCTTCATTGAGCAGCTATAATATGCCAGGCACTTTCTAAGCTACTTTGGACAAATCCATGAAGTCAGCAAACAAAAACTTGTACTCAGCTCGGTGCAGTGGCACACACCTGTAACCTTAGCATTCTGGCAGACTGAGGCAGGAGGATTGCAAATTTGAGCTTAGTCTGGGCGATGCAGCAACTTAGTGAGATCTTCCTGGATTTTGTCCAGAAGGAGGCTGAGTCATACGCATAATCATCTAATATAATGCTGAGAGGTGGTTGATGTGGATTTTGGCATTACTGAATACCATCCCCATATGATTTACTTATATTTCTTTAGGCCAACTCATATTAAACACACAGTAAAGGAAATACTGTATATTGTTGGAGATAATACAAACCCAACATTAGTGGTATCTTTAAGCAGAGGGTCTTTTTAGAAACAAGGACAGTGGAAATTTAATGGTGTAATGAGACGGGTAGCTTGGTGCTGTTCTTAGCCTGTTTTATTTTTGAGGGAAAAACTGGACTTTGCTGTTATAGCTTGTGTCTAGATCTCCTCCCGAAGCCTCACGGGGTCACAGGAGGGACTTTCTCAGAGTGTCTGGATCTAGGGAGCGCGCTGCTGAGATCAAAGATGCGATGCTGGGATTGATTCATGATGTGACTCTAGGACAAAGGTGCCCCCACCCTGTGTGTGTGTGTGTGTGTGTGTGTGTGTGTGTGTGTGTGTGTGTGCTACCTGTCCCAAGGGAAGACAGCCTAGATAGGGCATAGGGACAGAGAGAAGGCTGTTACTTGCTGCTTGTCCCTTGCTGCTGTGTTGTCTTCTGCTTTCCATGGATTGTTTCTCCTCTGCCATGTCCCTCTGCCACGCCACCCTGCCTTGGAGCCAGCCAAGTATGGCCTGAAACATCGACAGACTTTCAACAAACCTTTCCTCTTTTAACTCTGAGGGTCAGGTATTTTGTCTCAGTGGTGCGAAAGATAACAGACACTTGCACCTCAATGTGCCTTTGTTGGGAACAGGAATTGGTAGTGCTGGCTTTGCCAAAGAGAGCCAGGATATGAGGCTAGAAAAGGAAAAGGATATCGTTTAAGTAAACCTCTCCTGTGCATCCCTGAAATCCTCTGTCCCGTCTTGTTCCTGTTCCAGTGACCCCACCATTCCACTCTCGATCTAGATCTCAGTCTCCCCATCCAGAAACAGAGGAGACGGAAACACCGTCAGTGGACAGTGAGAGCGAGGGTTAGGGGGCCTGAGGGCCAGCAGGGCAGACGTCTCCTCTCCCCATCTGGACAGTCGTCCAGGGCAGCTGGGGGGAGATCCCCAACCCTGCTTCAGGCACCCACATCCTCTCACCTGCTCCTCCTCCTGATCGCCCCCACCGCAAGTCTCCCAGCAGCACAGATGCGGCCCACTCCTGACTGGAGGGTTTCATGCCGTGGAGATCTAGGGTCAGCCACTATCCTGCAAGGAAATCGGGCCAAGATCTCCATGCATCTTATAATTTGCTGCATGCTCAGTGGACCAGTGTGGGGACCATGGGTGGGGTTGGGCACCTGCTCTGGCTGACACTCTCTCACTTCTTCATTCCCTGCAGAAGGGCTGGGATGGCAGATCCTGGGAGGCAGTGAGCTGGGGGACTGAAGGACAAGGGATGAGGAGGAGAGTCCAGGGCTGATGTCTAGGAGTTGGGGGAGCAGTGCATGCAGAAGCCCAGGGGTGGGGCAGGGTCACTCTAGGAAGCAGCTGGTGACCCTGGGGGCCAGGAAGCAGGGCTTGGAATGTTGGGGAGGGGGCAGTGTCTACAGAGACAACAGGGCTCAGTGTTGACAGAGGAGGCAGACACGTGAGCTGCTGTGTGCAGGGAAGAAATGGGGCTGGGGGGTAGTGAAGGGGACATAATTGGAAGAAATGATGGGGTGCAGTCCAGGGGACCCATGCTGGGGCCGTAGGTGTCTACTTCGGTGTGTACAAGTAGGATTGGGAGCTTTGACTTCAGACTATAGGGGAGACCGTGATGATCAATAACTATGATTGTGAGCTGTGTGTGGTGGTGTCCACCTATAATCACAGCACTCCGGGAGGCTGAGGCAGGAGGATCTTAGTTTGACTCAGTCTTGTCAACTTAGTGAGACCTTGTCTCAAAAAATTTTTTAAAAAGGACTGGAGAGGTAGCTTAGTGGTAGAACATATCTGGGTTTCATTCCCACCATGGCAAATAAATAAATAAAACAGAAAAAGAAGAAGAACCATGACGGTGATGGGTTTGTGTTTCTTGGGTGCCCTGACTCAGAGAGGACAAATCTCTCTCATGCCAGACAGGCGTCTGGCCTGCACCCTGGATTGGACCCCACTTCCTCCCTTTCTTCCCAAAAAGATGGGAGTCAGGGAGTCCGTGAGCCTATAAAGGGGTGGGGCCCCCGAGGGTAGAGGCTGGGGAGAAGGCGGCCTCCTTCCTGGCAATCCAGCCAACTCTGCTTTCCCCCAGGGTCTCTGCGGTGCTGTGTTTGTATAATGTTGGCCTGGGGTTTCACCCACCACCACGATTCCCTTTCTCTCTTCCATTTCTCCAGTCCTCCTTCCTCCTGGTATCTGTTTAATTTTTTCTTTTTTGAGCACTGAAGAAGGAGCCCAAGGCCTCGCATGTGCTAGGCAAGTGCTCCATGCCGGAGCTATACCTCTGGATTTGATTTTTGTTTTGCTTTATTTGTTTGAGACTAGGTCACACTAAGTAGCCTAGGCTGGCCTTGAACTTGTGATCCTCTTGCTTCAGCTTCCGGAGGATCTAGGATGACAGGTGAGACCACCACCCCAGGCTTCCCTTCAGTACCTGCTCCTCTAGTGTTCAAGATGTTCTGGGCACTGTGGAAGCAGCCAGGCTTACTCCAGGCGGAGTCCCAGCCCTGCCCGTGGGGTGCTTACAGTCTAGACGAAAGAACACCCAGGACCAAAGAATCAGGGGACAGTGGACAATACATCAGAGCGACATTGAGGACAAAGTAGACTGAGGCACAGGGGCCACGCCCCTGAATGAACCGCCACTCCTGATTGGTTCTGTCACCCTCACCCGGGCTCTCACCGCTCCTGCGCACGCGTGCACCCAGGGAGGGAGCAGGGTGTGGCTTGGCCCGTTTTACAGCTTCCTACACATATGTATATTCCTTGATTGCCTTTTTGGCTCGATGTCCCATTTTGAGACTGATCCTTGTTGATACGTGATGCTCCAGCTGACACGCTGTCACCGCGAAGGACCATCCCTCGGTATAAATGTGTCAGTACGCATTGAGTCATCTTCCCCGTGATGGACATGTAGGCTGTTTCCAATTTTTTTCTCCTTACCACCCAGGCTGTAGGAGCTTTATTGTACCAGTCAACACTCCGGCCTCCTGTGTTTCCTAGAAGAAAAGCACCTGGTGACAGAAAGCCAATACTACACGTCACAAAGCTCACCCTGTCCTACAGTGACCACGAGGACAATGACAAACACAACTCTCAGGTGCTGAGTGTGTGGCTTCCTCTAGGATCACTCCATGCCCTGAGGCTCCACACCTCCGCTTCATGTTGATGGTAATCAGAGGCAAAACCAGCCTGTTCTCCAGCATCAGACACAGGCCGAGACCAGAGAGGCAAAGGAGTTTCTGCAGGGCCACTCAGCTGCTAGGGGAGAGCAGCTCTCAGCAGCACGGCCACCCTGCCCACCGCTCTGCCCGTCCGCAGTGGCCTCAGTCACGTCCCTAGGAGCCCTCAGCTTGGTCCTGCCTCGGAGCATTCCCACCAGCCCCTCTGCCCAGAGGGCTTTCCTGTCTCACATGGCCTCCCAGGACCCCTCCCCAACCCTTTCCCTCTCTCCTTCTCAGCATTCACTACTTAAAATTGCTCCACTGTTTGGGAAGTGGCCTAGTGTTTGTGGTTCCCTCGGAGCAAGCAGCTCCTTGAGCTTGTTCATCTCTCTCTGCCTAGCACTCAGCACTGCCTGTCGTGTGTGAGGGTTGATCAAAAAATACACTGAACTTTTAAAGTGAAAATAATGCATGACAATAAGAGACACAGGGCCATTCATCCCTCCGAGAGTGCCCAAATCCTCCTGCTCGACGCAGACACACTCATCCCATCGCTCTGGCCACTTTCTGAAGCAGTTCTGGGAGTCTCGTTTCGTGAGTGTCTTAACTTGTGCTGTTGTGGCTGCCTCGTTCTGAATCCATTCAGAACACTTCTCTTTCACGACATTTTGACTTTGGGGATGAGAAAGAAGTCTCACACTGCCAGATCTAGTGAGCGAGGTGGATGAGGACACACTATAATGCTTTTATTTGACAGAAATTGCCATAAATGTTTGATTAATGAGATATGATCAAAAACTACAGTGAATGTTTAAAGCACGTATTACAGTAAAGGACACACTGGCATCCATCCTCCTCAAAACACTCAAAATAGCCCGGCACGCTTCCACTGAACTTAACGCATCAATGTAGCATTACTTGGCAATGTAGCTTTAACTGGAATAAGTTTTTAAAAATATAAGCGTTCATCATATCTTTCTATTACCCCTTGTAGTATATGCTTTGACAAAGCCCTTTTACTGTGCCGGCTCCTGGGCTTTAGTCCTTTACAAATAAGCGTTCATGTTGTCCTCACAATGATCTCCTGGTGGGATTGATCTTCATTGTATAAGCAAAGAGGAGGAGACAGCTCAGAGACATTATTAGGTAACTTAACCAGGGTCACACAGCAAGGCCAAGCAGAGAAGGGATTTGGAACTAGATCTGCCCCAAACCAGGTCATCCTGCCTCTCCCTCTCTGCCCAGAAACAGCATTACCCACTGTATATGAGAGTTTGCAGAGGACACTTTTTTCACAAAGGGGAAACTGAGGCCCACGAGAGTCCAAGACTTGTCCGGAGTCACCCAGTGAGTTGGCAGCAAGACCAAACTCCCATCGTCTCCTGGACCCCCAGGATGATGTGCCCCAGGACCCACCACCCCTTTCAAATGAGGGGTCACATCTTCCAAACATGGGTCACATCTCTCTCTGCACATGGGTGCCAGTGGCTGGGGACAGGACTGAGAAGGCAAAGCGGGGACAGAGATGTGCCTGTCACGGCAGCCTCCCGTACCGACCCGAGGAGCCATTATTCAGGTCATCAGGCTGCAGCGGGCGGACAGGACAGTCAGCTGGCTGGGCCACAGGGGGCCTCGGGCCCTGGGAGCTGTCACCGCTGACTGATGGATGGGGACAGCTTCCAGTCGCCGGCCATCCCAGCCACGAGCCTCACGGCCACCCTTTTGGCCTCCCACGCTGGCCTCCTGCCCAGTGCCTGGCTTTGAACGTCCGCAAGGCCTTTTGTTCCCGCAGCAGGGGCCGGGGACAGCGCAGAGGGGCCCCTTTCCAGGAAGGAACTGCCTGCTGGGGCTCCCTGCCCCCTACCCCCTGCATTAGTCTAATTACCTGTGGGCAGGAGGGGCGGCCAGGGGGCCCGCTGGGCCTTTAGGAATCTGATGGGGGAGGGGGAGGGAAGGACAGCCAGAAACAACTCCAATCCCAGCCTGCAGAGAGGGTGGGAACAGGGACCTGCTATTCCAGATCCAGGGCTGGAGACCTAGGCTCCGAGAGGACAACGGTCTTCACTCGGGTAACACAGCAAATTAGCAGCAGGGCTTGGGCTGGACCAGGGGTGTTCAGGCAGGAAGGGAATCCACGTACTAGCTGTTACACTCTTTCCCATATGCACCGACTTAGTCCAACGGCTTCTCGTGACTTTCTTTCTAACTCTGCGTCCTTAGGCAGGTTAATTCACTCTCTGAGCCCCAGTTTCTTCATCTATGAGATGCACTTATCTGTTGAGAAACTCCAGTATTCAGGAGGAGACATGAATCTGTCCATCTCCAACCTCAGAATGCTCGCTCGCTGTCAAGGGCAAGATATAGATGAGTCCGCTGAGCTCAGCGAGCATGCTAAGTGCTGGGCTGGGTTAGGGTAGAAGCAGCAGGGGATTCGGGGGTACAGCAGGGCTTCACAGAAGACAAGCCACCTGCGGATTTTAGCTAGGGAGCCGAGGGGAGCTTTGCATGCATTTGGGAACCATCTTCCTGGCTGTGAGCATTCTGGGAAGGAGCAGAGGCAGAGACGGGGTAGCCAGGTGTCTACTGCACCGGTCCAAGCACAACACAGCGATCAGGGCTGAGCTGGGCCTCGGTTCTCACAGCTTCACACACGCTGGGCTTGGAGCCAGCGGGCCGTGGCTTCTTGGATTGTGCACTTTCTGATACCTGCTGGATTGGCAGTGGCTTAAAAACTAAATATAGACTTATCACATGGCCCAGCATCCACTCCAGAGGAATTGTAAATAAATACTTGGAACTTACTCACACTGGCCAAAAGCTGCAAACAGCCTGACCGTCTGTCTGTCTGTCCAGGGATGAACAGACAAAAGACCCATGGTACATCCATACAGCAAACTCCGGGTCAGCTGCAAGGAGAGAAGTCCTGGACACATTACTGTTTGGGAGCCCCCAAACCCCAGTGCTCTGGGCAGCAGCCAGTTCACAGGATCAGAGGAGAGGGGGGCTGTGTAGGGGCTGTGCGAGGGGAAAATGGAGAATTACCGCTTACCTTACGGGTGCAGAGTTTCTTTTTGGGGTGATGAAAGAGTTTTGTATGATACTGTGAGTATGTTTAGTGCCACTGAACTGTCCCCTTAGAATGTTTAGAATGGCGACTTTTATATTATGTATTTTATCACAAATTTAAAAATCGACGATATACCGAAAACCCCTTCACTGAGTTATACACCTTAAATGGGCACATTAGACACCCCCAAAAGTGTTATTAAGAAAGACAAGAGGGATGAAGCCACGGGGTATCCTGAGGCCCTCAGGAAAATAAGAAAGGAAAGCCACCTCGAGGGAGATAAGGCCGCCAGGTAGCAAATGACAGTGGCGGCCTGGACACACACATGTCCCCAGGTCCTGTGGGGAGAGGCCACCCTGAGCCTGTACTGATCTGCCGCGCGCCCTTTGGAAGCCTCAGGACCTCTCTGAGGCTCGGATTCTGCAATGCCTGGATTCTCTTTGCTGTGGGCTGACTGTGTGCTGCCTCTGGTCAGAAGCTTGTTCTGAATTGTCTCTTTCAGTCCTCCCTGTATTCCTGAGGAGGAGACAGAGGCCCAGAGAAGGTGGGAGGCAGGGAGAGAAGGCCGTGGCCCAGCACTCGCCTCAGCCCATCTCCTGCTGGCCTGGCCACCCGCCGGCCAGCCCATCTAGCCCCTGTGTCCATCGGTTGGAGCTGGAGTTGGTCACGGATTCTGTTCCTCCTGCAAATGATCTCCATGTGTCAGGGATTGGGTTTCCCCTGGCCCGGCGCTGTCCCTCCTGGGACCCGGGCGCCCCATGGCCTGATCTCGCCCCAGCAGCCCCTGCCTCGGCTGACCTGTGAGGCCGGCAGGCGGGGCCTGGGCATCTGGTTTAGCCATCAGCACTGGGGCTTGTTTCGGTTTTAATGACCCGTGGAGCCCCCGGGAGAGGCAGAGAGCGCAGAGGCAGACAGGCGCAGTGAGACAGCAGGGGGTGGGGAGCCTGGCCTGAGCAAACAAACCCGGAGCAGGGTTGGGGGGTGGGACCCGCTAGAACACACAGCCACACTCACACACGCACGTGCACACGCACACACAGAAAAGCCACCTTTCACACCCCTACTTGAGGCTGCCTCCGCTCTGCTCAGCTCCGTGCTGTGAGACACCAGCCTTTGCAGCTGCTGTTCCCCCGCCCAGAGTACTCTTCCAGCCCCTCCCTGCAGACGCCCCCCGCACTTCCAAAGCACCAACTCCCCAGGGAAGCTGACTAGCTCCTCACCCTCTTGGCATGGCCTCCTCTCCCTTGCACCATGGGGGACTCAGCCGGTTTGAGGCTCAGCCCATTTGTAAATGCTCTGCAATCCTTGGCCCTACCCCCAGGTTTCCTGTGCTCATGGCAAAAAAGCAAGACCACAGTTGCACCCTACCTCAGCTGCACACATTTCGAGGTGAGGCCGAGCAAAGGTTCAGGGAGGCTTAGTAGTTAGCTGCTCAGGAGGGGACTGGGGTGATCACTGTGCTCGTGCCTCCCCGCTTCTGTTTCCCAGAAGAGCTGGTGTGGGAGGCAGATGTTCCTCAGTCCCTCTCCTCGTCATCTGGGCAGCGGCACATGACTTCCAAGGGCTCATTTTGTCCTACCCCTCCAGACAGACTTGGGTGTCTCTAGCTTCTCCCTGGGCCTCAGTTTCCTCATCTGTAGCAGGCAGAGAAGAGCCTTGGTGTTCTCTTGAGCCTGCTCTCCTTGCTGGGGCACAGATCAGATACGGAGAGGTGCTCCAATTTCTACGAGGGGGAAATTGAGTCTCAGAAAGGCTGATGGTCTTTCTAGGGAGCCACAGGCAGGCTAGGGCAGGCATGGATTTTGGTTTCCAGCCCCAGCTCTGCCTTTGGGCCCGATTGCCTTCTGCCTCTAGCTGACAGGTGGGAGCAGGGGCGCTGTGTGTCTCACCAGCTCCCACAGGTCCCCGTTTTAGGTAGGGGCATCTGGGCAGCCATTGGCTCCAGGAGGGCTTGGCGAAGTGGTCAGGCAGAGGAAGGCGCACTAGGGACCTGGGTCCTTCTGCCTGCTCCCAAGTGGTCCAGTGGCTAGGTTTCATCTGCCCCTTGGGTGTGCCACCCACAGAGTGAGGGTGAGGACTCGCTGTTGATGAGATCCGTCAGCACTTAGAGAAGCAGGCACGTGCAAGAGCAGGCGTTTGTTGGCTGCTGCCGAGGGATGTGTGAACTTCGCTCATCATTCCCTGGCTTAGCATGGCGTGGGACCTCCCTCTGCACAGAAATCATGCTCATCTCTCCGAGCCTCGGTCTCTGTGTCTGTGAAATGGGGGCGATTCCTTCCGCTTCATGCTTTTCTGTAACCCTAGAGCCTTGAGCTATTCGGGGGCACCAGATGCAGGTCTGCTCAGATGTCCCACAGGCCTCTCTGCTCATGTGTGGCAGAGCGGGTGGAGGGCGGTGTTGGATCTCCCCCCAGCCTTCTCTGCCTGTTGAGTGGGTGCAGGCCAAGCTGACCCTCCACCCTGACTGAAAATACCTGCACAAATCCTTCTCGTAAAGCCCCAGCTCCTCCCACTGGGGCTCCCAGGGACACGCCAGTGGCTAAAATAAAGCCTGAGGTCAGCAATACCTTATCCCAAGCTGCCACCAATTTGGCTGCTCCTGGAGCTCCAGGCACAGATGGATTCTGGCAGGTGCTGCCATCGCCAGTCCCTACCATGGTGCAAGGCCCCTGGGCTGCCCTCGGGGGCAGAGTCAGGGCCTGAGTGAGCTCGGGGACTGTCCTCCTGCCCCTTCACTGGCCACCTGCCCTGACAGCTTTGGGACCCTGGCTCCACTAGCCCTCCCCTCGTCAGAGGTGAGCAGCTGTCCCGGGCTGGGCCTCAGCCCACTGTGTCTGCAGACAGCGCTGGCTGCAGTTGAAGCAGTCTGGATGCCAGCCCATCCCCAGTGTGGAAACTGAGGCCCGAGGATGTCCACCCTGGGATTTGGACCTATGTGTCTTCCCCAGAGTCCCTCGGGCACAGAGATCAGCTGGCGGCTGAGGCCCATTATCGAGCGCCGAGCAGGTGGAGGCCATGCACGCAGGCCGGCTGCCTGGTTTGTATTTTTAACACCCGGCTCTCGGGCGGTGACAAGGTGTCTGCTAAGTGAGGTAATAGGCAATTGAGTGGGTTCCGCTTTGCTGAGGGCTCTCATAAATCACGTCTGTCAGGGGCTCGTGTCGCCGTCCAGGGCAGCGGCCGCGTGTCGGCAATTAGCCAGCCTGTGCCCCGTGGCTGGACCGCAGCCTGCATGCCCGCACCGCCACCCTGGCCGGCCCAGGGGGTGTCAGCTCTGCTCCTGCTCCAGCTCCTGCCTGCCCTGCCAGCCTTCATGGCTCAGATGAGAAGGAGGGGGCATTGGAGTGAGGGATCAGAGGCCCCAGGGCTGGAGGCAGGCGTCTTCTCTGTGGGCTTCAGTTTCCTCATCTGGAAAGTGGGCACCTTAGGTGACACCTGCTGGAGGACTAATGCAGAGGTAGCAAAGACAGACCTGTCTCAGCCTAAAGAAGCAGTGGTGAGTGGCAAGGATGGTGATGAGGAAGGTAGGGGCTGGCAGTGCGGATGCCTGGTCCCAGAGATGTCCCCAGCGCGCTTCCCACTCCCCTCCACTCTGCTCCCACCTGCTTCCCTGGCTGCATTTTTTGGAGGGGGGGGGAAGAAAAGCTTGAATCATGTCATTGCCAACATGTGAGGCGGAGTGTCAATCCTGCCGTGGCCCTCAGTCCTGGGAGGTGGGGCCTTTCCACCCCAGTTTAGGGCTGGGAACACCAAGGCACAGGCGGCTTAGACCCCGCGATGAGTCACAGTCTCAAACCCGGGCCAACTCCTGTGACCTCTCCTGTGATCACGCTGGCTGACAGTGTGACTTGGTGTCGCAGAGGGAGAGGAAGCCTGCTACGGTCCCTTAGATCCGAAAACTCTTCTGTGCTGGGGACTGGACACGAAAAATTCAGCCCCAAAGGATGCAGACCCCTCAGAGGTCCCAAATCCCTTTCCGTCAGCCAGGTTGTGGTCTCTTCCAAGCCTTTTCTTTTCTTATTTAGCAGTTAATGGCTTGAACCCAGAGCCTCCTCAATGAACTACGTCCCGGTTCTTTATTTTTATTTTGAGACAGGGGCTCATAAAGTTGCTAAACTGCCCAGACTGTACTTGACTTTGCAGTTCACCTGCCTCAGCCTCCCAGAGTTCTAGATTACAGGACTGTCCCCCAGGTGTGGCCCCAAGCCTGGTTTGTATCTGATGTAGGTATTTCCACTGACAGCTCAGCCATGGTGCTCAGCCATGCCTTGCTCTGTGCATCTGTGTAATGGGTCAGCAGGATTCCAAGGAGTTTGTTCGGAGAGCGGAGGAGCACTGCCACTATAGGAGGTTTATTTTCTACATTCATTTGCTTTTCTACATTTGAACTCTGGCAAGTGTGACTCAAGGCTGGCATAGGAACAGTTCCACAAGGGGTGGCACAGCCAGAGGCCTCTGTAGCAGGAGTAGCACTCCTGAGTTTGGGGTCCCCAAGGTGGGAGGTCAAGTCCCATCTTGGCTAGAGGGAGAAATGTGCTGCATGGACACAGAGACATACACCTATGCACACATGTACACACTCACAAGCTCAGAAATTCAGACCTCCCTCTGCCATGTATGTGGGAGCACAGAGCGGGGCTGACACCCAGGAGTCCCTGTTTCCCACAATTCACCCCTGAAATCCACACAGCTATGCACATAATCTTGTTTCCCCCTTGGTTCATATTCAGGAGCTGGTTGTGGTAGCCCATGCTTTAAGCCCAGCACTAAGGAGGCTGAGGCAGGAGGATTGAAAGAGTTCCAGGCCAGCCTGGGCTACAGAGCAAGCCTGGTCTCAAAAAACCAAAACCCCAAACCAGAAATGAAACAAACCCACATATAGGTCTCCCCACTCCCTGGACACTTCCAACCCTTGCAAAACTCTTAGCCTTGTTTCTTGGGGCAGGAGGGGCGAGGTGGGGCCTCAGAGACCAATGGTGAGGGCAGCTAAGGCTGAGAGGGCGCCTTTCCCTGCTCGAGGGCCCCTGTGATTCCCTAGACAGCATCCATGTGCTGCGGCAGCTATCAGCCCCCTCCCCCGCCCTGCCAGCCTGCCCAACCTTTGTGATGGGGGCAGGGCATAGGGGAGGCCCCTAGGGGGGACTCTCCAAAGGCCTCTGGGCGGCCTCTGCCCTGGTGCATTCAGAGCCTCCAACAGCCCCCACCCCACCCTGGCCAGAGGGGACAACCTGGTGCTTGGGGGGATGAAGAATGCACCAGCTGGCAGACACTCGGGCTCCAGCAGGGCAGGGCTTCCTGGCTTCTCCTGCCTCTTTCAGGACCAAACCTGGAAGGCAGCCTCTAGACCCCTGCAGGGCCCTCCAGGACAGGGCTCTGTCCTGTGACTCCATCCACAGGCAGCTCTGGGCTGGAGGTGGGGCAGAGGCCTGGAGCCTGCCATCTGCATGGGTTGTGTTGGCTTCAACCCCTCCCTGGGGGTCACCAGGGGCCAGGATCGATGCGGGGCCCAGCTGCCTGGCGGTGCCCCATGCATGCGGGGCTGGCCTGGGGCTAACTGATTACACAAGGGCGTCTGCAAGGCCCAGGTGGCAGGGGCTGGGCAGCCTCTGGCTCCCCCAAGGCATAGCCTGGCTGGAGACAGGGAGCAGGAGAGAAAGGAGGCACGGGGTGGGGCATCTGTGAGTCCCAATTAAGCCAGCAGTGGCACAGTCTGGGCTGCCCCTAATTTAGTTTGGGATAATGAACCAGGGAAATTGGCTCCCGTCTGAGCAGGGTTGCAGCCCCATCTGGGCTGGGCCCAGGGAATACCTCTTCAGTCCTGGCCTGGTGGACTGGGAAGGGGCAGGGAGCAGGCTGCCCGGAGGGGTCCTGCTCTCTGCAGTATGCAGACTCTTTCCCTTGGTGTTCCTGGTGGCTTTTGTCTTGGGAGGTGGTTTCCATTTCTGCCCCAGTGCAACTAAAGACTCAGGAAAGAAGACTCCCAGAACTGCTTCAGGAAGGGGCAAAAACCATGGCATAGTGTGGTCCAGGGAGGGGCGTCCTGATGGGGCTGAATGGCAATGTATCCTTTACTGCAACTAATTTTTAAAATTTAAGCATTTATCATATTTTTTCATCAAACCTCACACCTATTCTGAGCAGCTGTTTATTCTGTATTTTATCTAGAAACTCTGCCTACCATAGTTAAGATCCTTGGGGAACCTAGGGATTAAAAAAAACTCGAGAGCCAGTCAGAACTGGTTCAAATTGATTTTGCCAATTTTTTTCTGTGCACGGACAGATACTCCTAGACACCACTGCCCCACACACAGGGTAGCCACATCCTTAATCCCAGGAATCTGCAACCGTATCTTATGTGGGAGAAAATTTGAAGTTAAGATTCTTAAAACAGAGATATTATCCTGGATTATCTGAGTGGGTCAGCTTCCTCCCCAGGGGCCTTTTAAGAGGAAGGCAGGAGGTCTGAGTCGGAGATGTGGCCTTGAAACACTTCGGAGCCATGTGCTCTGAGGATGGAAGAAGGGACCACAAGCCAAGGAGTGCAGATGACTTCTGGAAGCTGGAAGAGTTCAGCGTAGTCCTTAAACTTCTGTAAGTATCACAATGTGCCTGAGGCTGAGTAACCTTATGAAGAAAAGAGGTTTTTATAGCTCACAGTTCTGGAAGATCGAATGTGTGGTGCCCACATCATCTTATTAGGTGTGGTTAGGGCTTGTGTTGGTGGCACCATAGTCATTATACAGGAGCATGGCCATCTCGAGGCCAGATAGAAGGGCCTAGAGCCCAGGGTGTGGCCACGTTTGCTCCTTGTGAGAGCGTTTTGGGTCCCTAAGCACTACCTCAGTTCCTCTGAGTGCAATGCCTGTGACCCCAGGACCTCAGCAGACTTCACCTCTTTTTGTAGTCACACTGCAGGACTCAGCTCTCAACACAGGAGTGTCTGGGGGACAGACTCACACCACAGCTGACCTACCCAGCAAAGGTTCTCTCAGGAGCCCGTAGAGGGGATGGAGTCCTGCCAGCACCGTGAGTCCCCTGCAAGGTGCATGTTGGGACTCCAGCTTTTAGAACAGCAAGGTCACCACCTCACTGTGGTGTTGTCTCAAGCTGCTGAGGTGACAGTGACTTGCAAGAGCAGCCACAGGCGGCTGACACCGTGTGGCCTGGGTGTTGTGCAGGCACGGTGGGCCCAGGTTCTCCCTGTGAGATGGCGCCGGTCCTGTTTGCCACACGGAGCTGCCGTGAGGCTTCTCCAGAGCTGAGAGTTCTGGTGTCCTTGTCACTGAGCTGTCACTGTCAGACCTCACTGGGGTCCCAAGGTCCCTGCTGCAGCCTCCAGGCAGGAGGGT